AGTCCACATGTTGGGGATGTTGAAGTGGCTCCAGGCACGGCCTCTTCCGGCGAGGGACTGAGTTATTCTTGATGACATCCTGTCTTTCACACCGCACGTTGCAGATGTTTGGATGTCTTGCTACCACCAACTGAGGAATATTTCAAGGATTAGAAAGTGTTTAAGTCGTGAGGCCAATGAAAGTCAATGAAACGGTTATTCAAAATTCTGCTGCTCGCCTTGTCTGAGAGATCTGATAGCACTACTCCAACATTGGCTTCTTATTAAGTATCGTATTGTTTTTAAGATTCTGCTTTTAATTTACAAATTTCTTAATGCTTTAGTCCTGTTGTATTTTTCAGAAATTTTAGCTCATCGTTGGAGTGCTATTCAACTCGATCTCCTAACAATGGTGACCTCGCTGAGCCATCTCCATGCACCCGTATTCATCATGATCGGTCGTTCGCAAGGTCGTTCTCCTGGTCCTTCGTTCTGTGTGCGCCAAGACTATGGAAATTATTGCACCTTTTATTCCTAGAAATTCATTAGTTGACATTTTTAAAAACTTTTAAGACGACCCTTTTTAAAAAGTTTATTAAAGACCATTTTGAGTCTTTTTTTTTTTTAATTTTTTTTAAGTACAGTTGGACCCCGATAATTAGAAGTCTCAAGGGAAAAGCAAAATAGTTCGAATTATCGGGGGTTCGAATTTTTGGGGTCAAAAATAAATACGCAATTTTTACCCCTGCATACCTTTATTTACCCTATTTTCGCGATATAAGTGAACAGCCGAAACTGAGTTCGATTTTCTAGAGCCGTTTGATAACCGCACAAGCTCCAGCACAGAGATACATGCCAATTAGCACCTCGGTAAAAAACCTAAATTGAAAAACGATACCGACAAAGTCATCCACTTCCGCTAAAAGTGTGATTTAGCGTGTATTGTTTACTCATATTGCGTCCTTGTCATTAGACGCATGCACTCAACTGCTAGATACCGGCTTTGAAATTACTACATCAAGCTCTGCTTAAATAATGGTTTGCCTAAGGAATGTTGCTTCGCTTTAGATTAAATCCTACATAAAGGGATATCACGACTACTAGGAAATCTGGAAACCAACAGTGAATGAAAAACCTTCAATCAGAAGAGAGCCTGATAACCCAGTGGACAAATATGCCGTATGTGTGATGAAAGATCAAGAAACCATTATTGGACATATGAAGAAGGGAAAGAGTGGACGATTAGTTAAGTACGGTGGCCCACAAGTGCACACTGAATTCAAAACCTCTACGTCGAATTCCAAATGCCCGAATTCCAAATGCCCACACCAAATTCAATTCAAATTGCTCACAACGAATTCATTTGGAATTCGGTGTGAGCAATTCGGCTTGGAGATTTAGAATTCGGCGTGGAGATTTAGAATTCGGCGTGGAGATTTAGAATTCGGTGTGGAGATTTAGAATTCGGCGTGGAGATTTAGAATTCGGCGTGGAGATTTAGAATTCTGTGGGGAGATTTAGAATTCGGCGTGGAGATTTAGAATTCGGCGTGGAGATTTAGAATTCTGTGGGGAGATTTAGAATTCGGCGTGGAGATTTAGAATTCGGCGTGGAGATTTAGAATTCTGTGGGGAGATTTAGAATTCGGCGTGGAGATTTAGAATTCGGCGTGGAGATTTAGAATTCTGTGGGGAGATTTAGAATTCGGCGTGGAGATTTAGAATTCGGCGTGGAGATTTAGAATTCTGTGGGGAGATTTAGAATTCGGCGTGGAGATTTAGAATTCGGCGTGGAGATTTAGAATTCTGTGGGGAGATTTAGAATTCGGCGTGGAGATTTAGAATTCGGCGTGGAGATTTAGAATTCTGTGGGGAGATTTAGAATTCGGCGTGGAGATTTAGAATTCGGCGTGGAGATTTAGAATTCTGTGGGGAGATTTAGAATTCGGCGTGGAGATTTAGAATTCGGCGTGGAGATTTAGAATTCTGTGGGGAGATTTAGAATTCGGCGTGGAGATTTAGAATTCGGCGTGGAGATTTAGAATTCTGTGGGGAGATTTAGAATTCGGCGTGGAGATTTAGAATTCGGCGTGGAGATTTAGAATTCTGTGGGGAGATTTAGAATTCGGCGTGGAGATTTAGAATTCGGCGTGGAGATTTAGAATTCTGTGGGGAGATTTAGAATTCGGCGTGGAGATTTAGAATTCGGCGTGGAGATTTAGAATTCTGTGGGGAGATTTAGAATTCGGCGTGGAGATTTAGAATTCGGCGTGGAGATTTAGAATTCTGTGGGGAGATTTAGAATTCGGCGTGGAGATTTAGAATTCGGCGTGGAGATTTAGAATTCTGTGGGGAGATTTAGAATTCGGCGTGGAGATTTAGAATTCGGCGTGGAGATTTAGAATTCTGTGGNCGAATTCCAAATGCCCACACCAAATTCAATTCAAATTGCTCACAACGAATTCATTTGGAATTCGGTGTGAGCAATTCGGCTTGGAGATTTAGAATTCGGCGTGGAGATTTAGAATTGGGCGTGGAGATTTAGAATTCTGTGGGGAGATTTAGAATTCGGCGTGGAGATTTAGAATTCGGCGTGGAGATTTAGAATTCTGTGGGGAGATTTAGAATTCGGCGTGGAGATTTAGAATTCGGCGAGGAGATTTAGAATTCTGTGTGGAGATTTAGAATTCGGCGTGGGGATTTAGAATTCTGTGTGGAGCTTTAGAATTCAGTGTGGAGATTTAGAATTCGGTGTGGAGATTTAGAATTCGATGTGGAGATTTAGAATTCGGTGTGAGCAATTTGAATTTGGTGTGGGCATTTGGAATTCGGCGTGGAAATTTAGAATTCGGTGCGGAGATTTAGAATTCGGTGTGGAGATTTAAAATTAGGTGTGGAGATTTAGAATTCGGTGTGGAGATTTGGAATTCGGTGTGAGCATTTTGAATTCGGCGTAGAGTATTTTAGTTCGGTGCGGAGATTTAGAATTTGGTGTGGAGATTTAGAATTCGGTGTGGATATTTAGAATTCGGTGTTAGCAATTTGAATTTGGTGTGGGCATTTGGAATTCGGCGTAGAGTTTTTTGATTCGGTGTGCACTTGTTGGCCACCGTAGCTAAGACAATCTTTTATTTTCTGAGAGTGGATAACAGAAATTCATGCACTGTTGTGACAGGCATGCCTGTTAATCTTGGCGACGGTGAAGGGATGAAAGTGCCATGCAAACTTTTGTTTGAAGGAGAGAAGAAACACGTCAGTATTCTTGAAAGAGAGTTCACAAAGCTGAAAGACTAAAATTGGATTTTTCGTCAACTCTTTAGGCATATGGATTTTCATCACATCGACATGTTAATAACTTTTATAAAGCACCGCACATACAGTACAGGGATTAATGCACAGAGAACTGTTTAACACAATTATAAAGGGATTAACGAGCTGTGAAATGTTCGAAACTGTTATTACATAAATATATATTCTAATTTCCGACAGCGTCTGTTCTGTCATTCAGCTGGTAACTTAACTTCGAATTATTGGGGAAAATCCGACCTAAGGGAACAGAAATTACTTCGAATTAGTGGGGACTTCGAATTATCCGAGGTAAAATGACTGAGAAAAGTGGGGCAAAACCAAGGGAAATGAATTTTACTTCGAATTATCCGAGTTCGAATTATCGGGGTCCAACTGTATCATTTTAGAGTGCCACAAAAAATGGGAAAACAAGAGCCCCTATCTGTACTTAATGCATTTAAAATCCAGAGTTATTCTTAAAAACGCTTAAAAAAACTCATTCCTAGACAAAAAAGTAGTTGTAAGTGTAATTGCCGTTACCAGTCTGATTACAGGATGAAGTATTGGATTTCATTTAAATCCTTTGTCACCCTTACTTGCTTTGGTCCTAAACAACAATTGGTATATGAATAATTAAACAACAGAGTATTTCTGTCGAGGAACTATCGGCTGATAGTTGCCCCGCGGAAATTTGATGTTCTTAAAACAAATGTGCTAGTTTTGAGAACATCAAATTTCCAAGGGACAAGTATCAGACCGATAGTTCCGAGACATAAACACTCTATTGTTTTTATTGTTCACCACTAAATTTTCTTCCGCGCCTACAGCTTGTAACAAATGTCAATAATTCGCAACCGCACATTGGCTAAATAATACGTTATACCTGTCAGAATTGAAGTCACTGTTTTTCCGATCTGCCTAACTTCGCGGCCGTCATACCATTCAAAACTTTTCACGGATGAGCACTATCAATCCAGGTATTTTCAGCGGACGGGTACTATCCATCCGGGTATTTTCCTCGGGAGGGCACTATGGGCTGATAGTGTCTCTCCACGGATGAACACTATCGCGTCACGTGATCGATTTAAACCAATAAGAACCGGAGAAAATTTAGTGGTGAACTATAAAGGCTGATAGTTTCTAAAGAAACTGTTTGGGGCTACGTCGGTGGGGGCACAGGCGGCCCAAGCTCTCTTTGAGAACCACACAAGGAACACAATTTGCATATCGATTTATAAGGATTTGTATGGGATTTTCTACAAGATATCCATAGAGATAGTTAAAAGTGAAAATATTAAATAAAAATGGCTTACCTTATTCCATACGTGTGTTGCTTGCTCCTGGTGTCCTTATTTTAACGATTTCACTTGATTCTAGAAGAGAAAACCAGGATTAATAAAAACGATTAAATCAAGTGAAATCGGTAAAATCAAGTGAAATCGGTAAAATAACGACACCAGAAGCAAGCAACACACGCATAGAATAAGGTAAGCCATTTTTATGTAATATTTTCACTTTTAACTATCTCTATGGATATCTTGTAGAAAATCCCATACAAATCCTTATAAATCGATATGCAAATTGTGTTCCTTGTGTGGTTCTCAAAGAGAGCTTGGGCCGCCTGTGGTGGGGGTAACGAAATAATTTGAATATATCAACAAAGTTGAAATGGTAAATTGGCCACCGTTACGGTTATAAAAGCTGACGTTTCGAGCGTTAGCCCTTCGTCCGAGCGAGACGTTAGCTTTTATAATCATAACGGTGGCCAATTTACCATTTCAACTTAGTTGATATATTGAAATTATAACAATTGGCATAATTGAATAAAGTTGGAATCATTATCAATTTCTTAGTGACTAGTTAATTTCGTTTTTGTGACCTTGGTCAGAATAATAGTACTGAGAAATAGAAACTGGCTCTAAATATCAATGTGGCTATGGTAGCTGAGTATAGCAAAAGTCTGACAGCAATTCATGAAGTTCTTTTGTAGCAGCTATCTGGGTACGCACTGTCGATAGATACTCAGTGTAGGTTTGTGTTCCTGTCAAATTCTCTGTTTTGCTGCTGCATATAGGTTTTGGTGTGTATCTTCCTCTGTTCCGAGTTTGAGTAGCAGATTCGCTCATAAGGCCCTAAAGAGAGAAAGTTCATAGTGGTTCATTTTTTACATTATTTCTTGGTTGAAGACTGTCATCAAGTATCCCCTTGCTTATGGGGAAACTTGAAGAAAGGAAGGAGAGATTGTTCTAAATACTGGTACACTGTGGATACCATTTTGCAAAGCATCTGGGCCACGTTGTTCAAAGCTTAGTTAGGATAACCCAGGGTTAGAATGAAGTCTAGTTTTAGATCTAAAAGCTTTAAGAGCAAATTCAGTTTAATTCTACTTGTCTACAATTTGATGATTAGATGCTCTAAAAAGAAATAGAAAAAGCTACTCCCAAAACAGTTTTTGAAAAAATAACTAAAGAAACTTGGATTAAAGTTCAACCTTGATGTAGCAATTGGTGGCCTGGGGGCATAAGTGGACCCTGATCAGTGCAAGACCACAGATGATGTTTAAATGTGGCAGAGTGAGCATGTTACCATGGGCCTTACAGCATAGCATATTCTGTGATTATGGAATAAGCCAATATATGGCAACAGTCAGTCTATATTACTGACAAAGAGACAAAAAATTGCAGGTATTCATAACATTCACATGTCTACTCTCAAACACATATAACAAGGAAAAACAAAATCAACACTCTTGAAAAAGTCAGCACACACTATACGAATAATGTATAGCTAATGAACTACAAATAACAAAAAAATTCCTTTGAAAAAGTTTAAGGAGCCTACAGTCACCAAATGGTAGTATGTCAACAGTTAAACGTTTTTTAACTGTTTTTCAGTTATTTCACCAGCAAGTGAACATCATTTTTACCAAAAAGAGCTGGAGCTGGTCACATGCAATGTAAAAATCTTCTAAACTTTTCTCAAGCTTGTTGTTTGACACCTCAGTTGTCTTCCTGTCAAAAGGAAAAAAAAAAATACTCTTTGGTTAGGTTCCTGGAGTAAGTTCAAAATTATTTAGTTTTGCAATGAGAATCACATTTCCCTGACAGTGTTTATCTTTAGACTGAATAAATGAAACCCCTTTTACAATAAGGGAAGTCTAATGTTGTAGTATAAAGTCAAGATTCAACTTCTTTATTCCAGCCGGTCCATTCTACACAAGAAGACACTGATGCACATGCGTCCATATATAAAACTGCATGTAAACTATCATGGATTAAAAGCTCCTGTACACTGAGTAGATACTACAAAGATACAACCCAAAGTGGAGAGAGAAATTGACCAAAAGAATAGTAGTAAAACATGACTTTTTGCAAATCACACTTGCATATGGGCTCCATTCTTATCTGGTGCCCTCTTCTCATTTCTTCCTATTTTTCACCATACACTTATTCAGTTGATGCATTCATCTATTTGGAAAATGTCTGAAAAATTTGGCAAAAAATTAGCACTCTTTTGTTATTACATCAAGCCCTGCTATATCACCCAACTGGAGAATCACTCCTTACAATATGACTCCATTTCACAGCAGAAATGTCATGAAATAACACAATTACTATCCAATTGTACTTCGTAGAGTACAAATAAGGCGTGAGACAAGTACAAATATCATGCCACACTTTTACTCCAGAAATATCTGTGAAATCCACCCATACTGAAAAAACAATTTGGCGTGTTGGGTAATAAATCTCTTATTAGAAGTTTTGTTGTGTAGTAACGCTGAGTACTTTTACTTGTTGTTTGTATTTTGACTTGCCCTGTGGGCTTGTCAAAATACAGCACAACTTGTACAAATATTCAGTGATACTACACAATAAAACGTCTACTTAACAATTATTCCACAGGCACGCATTGGATACAAGGTGATAGGTAGCCATTGGGGTGTGTAGCGCCAAGTTGGCTATAATCATCTCCTATCCAACGAGCGCAAGTGGAATAATTGTTTTATTAAAAACACCCCATGGTATATTGGCTCATATACCATAATGGCTACGCCAATAAAGAGTCTTGAATTGCATTATCCAATGATCCAGTTTTTAATAATAAGATTTATCATATGGCCGTGTCTCACAAGGACTGGGAACTACCGAATTCACAAATTTGATTGGCTGAAATCAATATTGAAAGCGGTCTAGATTTTCCCATGGNGAAAAAAAAGGTACAAAGAATATAAAAAATTGCCATATAAGATACAGCCATATAATAAACATCTTATTAACGGAGCTAGGTCGGTCTGTATGGGAGAATCTTGACCTCGTTCGCTGGTACTGCGTTCTGTCAGTACTGGCGACCTCGGTCAAGATTCTCCCATACAGACCTCCCGCTCGGTTAATAAGAACTAAATATAAATCAACTTACGTCCCAAGGTCAACTTCTGCATTTTGATCAATGGCCAGATTCGCTAATCTCATAACATTCTGTAACAAAAAAAAATTGTGGCTAGATAAATGTAATTGTTGAATTGGATTTCGGACTAAAGCTCCGAAACATGTCTTATCAGGCTGCAGACAAATGTTGGTGTCACACTCACTATACCAATTATCTTTATGTACATATTACCAAGTGAAAACTTGAAAGATCAAGCTTGGTTGCTAGCGTAAGTTGTGGCCTTGAAAAAGCGATTAGTCTAGGATCCCATCGATCAGGTAAACCTTGACAAAAAACAACAACTGAAATGACGTTCAATTACCATAATCTCTCTTTTGAGTATTTGATGTATTAGAATCTTACCGCGAGCGTATCTTTAGTATTTTTGATCTGTTTTACGATGTATTCCGCATCAATCGCCGAGCCGGCCGTATTTGTGGTGGTCATTTTGGATTTTACTTGTAGGCCTATGTGCCTATCGCAAGCCTATCACCATCTACTAAACTAATATTGTCCAGCTGCTTCTATCAAAGGCCACTAACGGCGTCATGTATGACCAAAACAAGATTTGAACAAAATGGCGGCAAGTCAGGAAGGTTTGCTTCGTGTTTCTTCTTCTCCGGGACAATTGCAGATGACCTGTACAGGCGAATTTGTTGCATTGCCTTTGACGAAGACTATTGTGGGAGTTTGGTGGCTTGGAGATATCTCGAGGAAGGTAAAGCCAATCAAAGATGAAGTTAGATTTTGTTACTTGTTATTAACTAATTTTAATTACTGCAATAATTATAGTTTGATACAATATATTTTAATGTTAATTTTGAGCTTTGAAATTAGATTTATGAATAAGAAGGACTAAGATCACTTGCTTTTCATGAGTGATGTTAAAATAAATTCATAATTAGGCATTTTTACTGATCAGAATATTATCGAATCAAATTTTTTCGAGGAAACAGACGCTGGAGGATGTTAGGTGCATAGCTACTTACTATGTAGCATTTTTTCTTATCTTTGTAGCAAGAAAATGTCTTTCAGAACTATTTATTTCATTTGACATGACCCAGTAGTCGTTTGATCGTTAGGTCCTTGCAGCCATCTAGAAAAATAATTATCGGCAATGCAAAAGCAGCTAGCTGCCATGGCAACAATATCTAACTTGATGAGAATCCTTTTTTATACCATGGAATTGTTTGCTGAATTTACAAGGGGTTGTACACTGTTCATTTTAAGTTTCATTTTCAGCCTTTACAGCTCTCTGCCCACAGTGGAATAGTAAGCACCACTTGTTTTGGACGAAAGGACAGACCCCTTCTCCTCTGCACAGCATCAGAAGACTTCATATACATCTGGAACATTGACAAGCTTTTGCTTATTGACAATATAAGTATGAAAAACTAATGTAGTGTTTTCTGGAGATTTTATAGTTGTCAACCATAAGAAGCTCTAGAGCAATATGGGTACAGTTTATTTCAGATTGATACAGGTATTTTAATGCTTCCTCTGAAGTAGACAGGACTTCAGAACGTTCACTGTAAGTGTTTTTGAAGAACAGAACTGATGTGTAAATTATGAGCAAAACATGTAGTATAAATTATGTGAATGAGACCATGTAATATGCTCCAAGCCTGACAAACCTATCTGTTAAGTTTGAAAATTGAATGCTAATGCAAATTAGAAAATGATTCCTTGAGTGGCATCCCTCTTCAGTCCTAATCAATGATTGAAAAGTCTATTAAGCATCTTGATGTTACAGCTAGTGATCACAGTAGTGGGATAGCAGTTGGTAAAGATTTGGGACATGTCCAACATCTTAGCTTCAGCATGTCTGACAGGTTGATAACAGCATGTATAGAGAAAGAAATATGGGTCATTAACATCCAGGTATGTTATTTCAGATTTGCAGTTTTAATAACACACATATTTTTTCTCAGGTGAGAAATAAGATTTATACCTCTCTTATTTTTCATTTAATTAGACTAGCAAACTGGACACTTTGTTGGAGGGCCATACCAGCATTGTAACATGTGCAGAGTTTTCTCCTAAAAACGAGTCAATTGTTGTGTCGATAAGTGAAGACAGAACTTTTAAGGTATGTTCAATGTACATGCCAGTGCATTATATTGTGAACTATTACATTTTCTTTTGATGAGGTACTGCAGCAAAAGGTAATTAGGAAAAACTGTTACAATGAGATGGAAAATTTTTTAAGTAGGAGATATGATTTAAGACTTTCCATTAAGATGATTTTATTGACATGTGCGAAATTATGTGGCAAATAAAATCATGACAAGATTTGGGTAAAGTAGAGGAACATTTGCTGCAGTCCTTTTAATCCCAACAGTTATCATGAAATGTCCTTACCAATGGCCATTCATTTCTTTGTCAAATTTGCCCAAGAATTTAATCTAGTTGTTCTTTCAGTAATGATTTAAAGTCCTCACCTGAACAACTGATAGACTAAGTGTGTTAAAAGTTGTGAGGATAAATTTTTATAGTTTTTGATTACTAATTGTTGTTACTATTTGTCTATGTCAGTTTTTCATGTTTTTTGTGTTTTGTCACAGGCAGTTTATTTGAAATAAGGAATCTAGAATTCTATATAAACTGGCAGATATCTCTTTTTTACACTAGTCTTGTATATATTTATATTTAACTCCTTGTTTTTGTTTTGATTATCTGTGTTTTACAATCGAATTTGAGTAAATAAATAAATGAGTAAATAAACTAATCTCTCTTTGGCAGTGGAAGCAGGATTAAAATAAATTATCAGTTGGCTGAGACATTTTCAGATCTTCAGGAAGTTTGAAATTGTAGCCTTGTCATTTACGCTCTAGCTCTGGATTGTAGAGAGTGCTTTGGCAGCTTTGTAGGAATCATATTAAGGAAGAGAGAATATATTAGCAAGAAAGGGAAAACGATTCACTTTTCTTTTCCTCTATCTTTCTATTTTAAACCTATTCTTACAAAAATTTAAGGCAACTCTCAGAAAAGTGCCTTAACAACACACTTTTAGTTATGATTCTCGGCCTAAAATTATAGGTTTCACCTAATGAATGGTTTAATTAAACTTTGTGCATTACATTTATGACACAAGGTATGGAACATTGAGCAATCATGTTTGGTGTACCAGTCAGCCATTTTGTCAGGTAGGGTTACAATGTATTTACTTGAATAGAACGAGGAACCATTCAAATTACCCCTAGAGTCAATTGGTCTTTTTTTTTTTTTATCCTTAGAACATACTCTAAGTTCCAAGTTATTCAGATTGTTTTTCTCAATCAGTAAATTGGAAATCCAGGGTATTTATTTAGTAACAAGTTTCCCCAACATTTGTACTCCTTCATAATGAATTTTGTGATCATTTTTTCCTGGTGCGTAGAAGGCAGGAACAGAAAATTGTTCGGAGATATTTGTTACTTCAAAGTTTGCAGTGAGTTAATCTTTTAACTCCCAAGATCTGTTTGTTAATTCTCTCCTCTAGCTGCTACACCCTTCCTTGTAAGTTAGTTACAAGAATTTTGTCTTAGATCAAGACACCTGACAAGTTTGAGTACATTCTCATTACCTGTTTGCTGGATAGTGTATGGATATTGTAGGGAGAAGTTACATTTTATTCACTTCTAGGAGTCAGTTAAATGGTAATCACTTGAATACCTTATTTTCAGCTCATCCATTCCTTTCACTTGCTTTGGATTCTGTTCAAGAGCAGATGGTAATTGGTTCTGCTGATGGGAAGGTAACAAGTAACAAAATTAAAAGCTTGCAACCAATTTGCACTTTAATTTTGAGAAATGCTGACTCTTGTGAATTTTTTGTTCTTTTAAAGGTTCACTTGTATGACCTAGCTTACAATGGTCGTTACCGATGCCTTTATGAACTGGATGTCAATAAGTTGATGCAAAAACATTGGAGGCAGAAAGAAACTGTTAGGGAAACACCAGAGAATGGGCCATCCATAATAAACAGTCAGCGTTCCTGGCAAAGCAAGAGCACTCCAGATGATGAAAATGAAGCTGTTCTGGAACCAGGAATGGCTGTACTTGCTGTCAGCTTCATAACAAACCCTCATCAACAAAGTGCTGCACACAGAGATGCAGGAACACACAGGATCCTTTTTGGTTCACACAGTGGATCAGCCATTAAGTAAGAATAATGATGAAGTTGTTAGCAAACGAACATCTTCTTCATAACACAGTTGCAGACTCCAAATCGAGAAATTTGAAATTTCAGCTTTCTAGAATTTTGCATTTTATATCTACATTTTTGTAAATAAGGATAAGGAACTTGCAGGCAGGCTCCAGTGTATCTCTTGCTACCCTTGGACAGTATTGTGTAATAGGTCATTTTACAGTTGTGTCCTTAGTTGCCAAGCCTTTGATCTTTGATTCAGAGTGAGGCTAAAGATGACCTTGTTGTGATAGAGACCTGTACCTAGTTAGCATGATAACAAAGTGATTTACATTTGAAAGGCAGCAAGGTTTGTATCATAACAAGGTCATCCCTAGCCTCACTCCCGTTCAAAGGCTTGGTAACCAAGCACACAACTGTAAAATGGACTATTCAATCTCCTTTACTGTCTGCCATAGAGTTCTTATGATGTCGGCTTGGAGAATTTTCTACTGGACCAACCTAAAATCCCCTGACTTATGTTTTCCTAGTTATTCTCGCTACTTCTCTGATACATGTTGAATATTAGATATCGTAGGGAGAAATTCTGTCTTGGTCACAATAAAGGATGATAAAGGATGAAGATCTGTACGATTAAAGTTGAGTAAATAAGTCCATCAATCAATCAATCGATCAATAAGAACTCTACTAAAGGGTGATAGAACTGTAATATGGGCAGGTTCTCTCCTGGCGCAGTGATGATATGCCATGTCTATAAACAGATTGAAGTCACTGGAGATAGTTTGAAAATATCTGGTACTGTGCTAGTCTTGGTGGACTCCATAGAAATTTTACGGAACTTCCAAAAACTCTCTA